CATGATGAAGTAACGCCCAGGACTTTGTGGTGAAGTTGTCTGGGTGCACCTTGCCATTGCGAACAGGACAGTCAACTGTGGTTTGGTTCCAGCCATACACAAGGCCATGGTCTAGAAGCCTATAAAGTGGGCGGTTAGGAACAGTCACAGAAGGGAATGTTGAACTTACTGGAGCTCTGGGGGTAGACCTACATGGCAGAGAGGCAGGTCAAGTATGCATTGAATTTTGGAGGGGTTGCTTATGTCGTCCAGGAATTGTTGTATTGTCCCTTGCTTATGGGGGTGTGCGAAGTCATCTACTCGTTTGGCGACGTCTGTTGGGAAAGTTGAGTTGTATGGAAAACAAAACCAGCAGACTGACCGTGTATGGTAACACGCATCCGGGGTGATATTCCAAAAAAATTCTCTAGGTATTCTGCATCCAGTGCAGTGGTGTTTTTGCTATCGCCGCCTCGGATAATAACAGGTTTGTTGTGGCTAAGAGCCTTACTGACGGATTGCTGTAATTGACCTTTGGTCAAGTCATCACGTTTGAGGTGAACGACATTGTTTGAAGAGGGTTTCGATTCAGGGAACTTGGAGAGGAACCGCACCATGGCGGCATCCTTGTCTTCGCATATATTGATGCCATTACTCATAACGCACGGAAGTATAGTCCTGCGCCCGTCAGCCCAAGTGACCATTCCAGATTGTGGCGGTACTTCGACACCCAGGATGCCAGATATAAAGTCTAGGTTGGGAGGAGATAGGGGATGGGCTGTGTCTGGGATGCATTGAGGTGGATCTGTCATGACATTAGCGTCTACCATGCGACGACATCGTATGGGGCTCCTGAGTACAGGGTTTATGAGGCTGTTCTGGATAGATACGGTGTGTGGCGCGGGGGTGGAGTGCTGGATGGAAGAAACTTCTGAAGACATAGTTTCCGGCCTTTTCCCGCGAAATCGAGGAGGTTCTGCAGCCTGGTCAGGGGAGTCCGATTCTTTGGACATTTTAAAGATTTTTTCGCGATGTCGCTGAGCTCGTTTGCTGGCACGATTCGATGCCCTGATCCTTTCTGCATTCTCAGGATCTTGCATCTGTCGAGCGAGCCATATTCTTTTTCGTTCTGTTTGCTGCTCTTTCGGGTTGAGGCCTTGCAGGTCGTATTTGAAGCGTGGAGGCATGATTGAATTACATGTACATTTAAGTTGACATCAATAGTGACGTTCAAAGTTGAGTTTTCGAGGCAACGCCGTTTTCAATTCTGTTCTTGATTTTCGGCAGCGACAGCCGGGGCGCCGGACTCCGAAATTCGGCGCAAACCGAGCCACCGACGTCTTCCTAAATGGTAATCCTTGTCACACCCAAACCGTATCACTATCTAACTTACGTTCCTGGTCCTCGAGCTCTAACCCCCAGCCTATTCTAACCTTTTGACAAACAATTATATGCATAAGTCTTCTTATTATGAAGCTTTAATGTACAGTACCCAAGCTTTCAGATTGTCAAGGTTCACTTTTTTCGCCCCTTGAACCTTTTCAACGTCTGTTTTCCGTCATAAATTATCGTCCCGGGATGACATTTTCATCAGCTAATACCATAAGAAGTACGTTCACTTACCTCGAACAAATGCGTGGCATGTGTCGCAAAGAACTCAAGGTATCTTTTGGTATTTTATTTTTTTCTTATCGAACTTGTGCTGGAAGCACCTTGCAAGACTTTGGCAGTCATGTTCACTAAACAACGTTCGATGTTTGACTGTCCCAATCCTAAATTGCATGTCGCTGGCAGACATTTGCATCACTTCAGATCTTTATAGATGCTCGCAAGGCATGGTTTGACTCACATCTGACTGACCTGTAACTGATTCTCCTTGATCAAACTTTACTCACATCGGACTGACTTGCCTGGCTCACCTTTGGCTTGAGTCACTGTCAGATACATAGAATTGCTGTAATAAATGGACTTATCACTTACTTGACTTCTCCCAATTTTAAAAATCCATGTTTTTTTACTGCTATGAAAATTTACCCTCAAGTGTTACGTCTACGGATTTCCATGACTTCAGTGACATAGTCCCTGAAT